GGCCAGCCCCCACCACCAGGTGATGCCCTCCAGGTCCCTGACGCCCGCCTCTCCTCCTGCTGCAGACCGAGAAGTTCTCTGGCATCACTGAGGCCGCTTCGCCGCCTGCCGTAGTGTCCAGCAGTCCCGGGGAGCAGATGGAAGCGGGTCACGAGAGCATGAAGAGCCTGCTGACCTCCCCCACGGACGCCCCTGCCCGCCGCAGCCGGGCCAGCCGGGGTAGGAGCGGGGTGGCAGGGGCATTCAAGGCATGCCCAGCTGGCTGGGCACAGCTGATGCCAGCATCCCTGTTGTCCCTGTGCAGGGACAGGGCACACCACCCCAGCCCAGGGCTCTCCAGCCCAGGAGGACGTTCCCAGCTCCCCAGACGACGCTTCGGATGAAATCATGGACCAGCTGGTGAAATCGGTGACACACAACGCCAATCCCCGGCCCTGCGCCAACAAGGAGCGCAGGAGGTCCCGTGGCAATAGGAAGTCCTGTAAGTCCCGTCTCTGTCCCCATGCTTTGCCCCTGTCCCTGTACTCTGTCCCCTCTCTGTGTCCCTGCCCAGATGCTTTTTCCCATCTGTGTCCCTGTCCCCTTGCCCTGTCGCACCTCTGTAGCCCTGTTCCCATGCCCTGTCCCTGTATTCTGTCCCATCTCTGTGTCCCTGTCCCATGCCCTGTGCCATCCCTGTGTCTCTCTTCCCATGCTCTGCCCAGTCCCTGAACTCTGTCCCCTCTCGGTGTCCCTGTCCCCATACCCTTTCCCACCTCTGTGGCCCTGTCCCTGTACTCTGTCCTGTGGCCCTGCCCAGATGCTCTTTCCCATCTTTGTGTCCCTGTCCCCATGTCCTGTCCCATCTCTGCGTCTCTGTTCCCGTGCTCTGTCCCCATGCCTTGTCCCGTCTCTGCCCTGCCTGGCTCCTTCCCCACTGGCTACTCCTGACCTCCCATGTTGAGCCCACCAGGCCACAGCAGGAGGTACCCTGAGACCAGACCATGACGCTGCACCCTAATGCCACCCTTCCCCTCCTCGGCATGCCAGGGCCACCATGTCTGGGCAGGCACCCAGTGTGTGGTGACACTGGCAGCCAGCGCTGCTCGTGCTGCCAGTGCCATGCTCTCCTCTTCCCGCAGTGAGACGGACGCTGAAGAGTGGGCTCAGTGATGACCTGGTGCAGGCGCTGGGCCTGGGGCAGGCGTCCGGCATGGAGGTTTGAGGGGGCCGAGGGGGCTCGTGCTGCTCCCTACTGTCAGCAGCCTCCAGGGCAGGACGTGGTGGCAGCCCCTGCTGCTCCAGGACTGGCACGCTCTGCGCCCTTGGCCTCGCCTTGCTTTTCCCTGCCGGCCTCCAGCTCCCGGAGTTGCGGGCAGCAGGATGGGAGTGATGCCCTGGAGCTGCTCCACGGTGGCCGGGATGGAAGATGCTCAGCGTTTGTGTGTGGGTGTGGAGGCCAACTTCTCAACAGTATTAGAGGGGTCAAGGGGCTGGACCCAGACCCCCTCTGGGAACGGGGTCTGGCCCGTAGCCACTGTGGCAATAAAGTGATCTGACATGCTGCCGGCATTACTTGTCCCTGCACCTGGGTCACCCCGCTGCTGCGCTGAGATGCTGGAGGCTTTTGATGCCATGGACCGAAGCAGGCAGTACCAAGGTCTGTGGCAGGAGGGAAGGGGTGATGCTCCCTCCAGCATCCCTGGGGAAGCCATCGCCATGGTCCTGAGCAGGACCTGAGTGCTGCCGGAGATGTCCCAGGGTTGGCCCTGCCTGGACAGCCCAGTGTCCCCATCCCCTGCAGAGCCCTGAGAGGCCGGGGCTATGTGGTACTCCCCCCCCGGGCCGAGCCAGCATCCCTCCTGCTGCATCCCCAGCCCTGCTGCCGGGGGCAAGCACTCGGCCCGCAGCAGCCAGCCCTGTGGCCTGCAGGCACCATCATCCCTCCCAGGGACAGCACGATCCCTCCTGTACCGGGACACCCAGGGGGACCCTGCCAGAAGGAGCGAGGACTGCTGCCAGGCTCAAGGCTTGCACGCTCAAGGGCAGGAGTGGCAGCTTGAGCGCAAGGCCACAGTACACTAAAAGAGTATATGCCCTCAACCTCACCTCTCCTTTACAAACCTCTCCTGGGGGATTTATCCAGACCAGGACCTGGGTCCGAGGCCGGTTTGTTCCCCTCCTGAAGCGGGTCCAGAGCACAGCAGCCACGTTGCTCCCTGCAAACCTGGCCATGGCCAAGCTGCAAGCCTCGGAAACATCTCCCTGTGCTTGGCAGAGATGGGCTGCCTCATGATGTAAATGCAGCCAGGGCTGCATCTGCCTGTCCCCATGGGGCCTGGGAGATGTCCAGGCAGGAACATGCCACCTCCTGGTCTAGCACCACTTGTGCCATCCTGGGCATGGATTAAAACCCAGGCTGGATGCTGGCCATGATGCTCCTCACGGGTGCTAGATGGTAGGGGGGTACCATTTCTGAGCATCCCCCTCTGCCAACTGCAGTGCTTTGGGCACCGTCACCCACGGAAGAGGCATTTGGGAACGATGTCATGTCATCCATCACAGCAGCTCCACCTCGGCGCTGCCCCAGTGCTGCCTCCAGCCCCGAATCCCGTGCAGCAGGTCTCTGCGGCTTTTAAGGAATGAAGAAAAACTCCACCAGGCAGGGCAGCTTCTTCCTCCCGGCTAACCTTTGCCCAGGGTTGTCCCTCTCCCATGAGGCTGGACGCACTGGTGGCCTCGGAGGAGCCAGGCAGTGCCAGCCCGCCCCAGCTTGTGAGGTGCCTGTGATGTTTCTGGGTGGCTTTGGGGACAGTGAGATGTCATGCCAAGAGCTGCAGGTGTCCCAGAGGTGCCCCAAGACATGGTCTGGCTCTCCTCCCCTCCTTGGGGGGGGAGGAATGCTTGACTTGGGTCCCCAAAGAGAGGATGAAGAGGTCACAAAAGGTGCCATTGAGCTGCTCAGATGCACAGCGGGAAGGAGAAAGTGGTAGAAAAGCATCTGCCTGACCGCCTGCACCTGCCCCAGGTACCCAAAGTGACATTATACATGTGACAACTCCAGGACTGTCACTCCCAAGGGCTCACCGGGGGAAACTGAGGCAGGGTGCCAGTCAATCCCGAGTGGTTTGGTGGTACTCAGGATGACCGTGTCCTCAGCGAAGGCCTCCGCCAACCCATTTATTTTTTTTCCAGCTGGGTTTTTTTTTGCAGCCTTGGTGATATTTCCAGGACGCCCGGCCTGGCCCTGGGCACACGCTGCCCTTGAGCGGCGCGTGGAGTGCTTGGCTTGGCCGCGGCGCAAGTGGCTTATGCCAAAAAAACACCAGGCAGGCGCGGCCACCCCGGAAAGGAGAGGGGAGCGGCGGGATGCCAGAGACTCCTTTGCGAGCGGAGGCAGGTTCATAGGCTGCCGTATGAGGCTTGGTGGGGACCCAGGGCACGTGTGGCCTCGGGCAGCATCAGCAGAGCCGGGGTTGGGGTGCTGCACCCCCAGGAGGATGCTCCGGGTGGGATAAGGTGACCCTGCTGGGGCACGTCGTGGCACCCGCCACCTCCATCCCTGCCTGCACCCGGGCTCAGCCCCTGCACCGCTCCCGCTCGCACCAGCCCAGGGCCACCAGCTGTGTCCTGCTGCCACGAGGGGGCACGGCGGCCACGCACACAGCGAGGCCACCCGAAACGATGCTTCGTGTCCCGCCGCTCTTCGGGCGTTCGCCTGCTGGCCTTCTGTTTGCTGTTCTCCCCTCCCTGGCACCCAGGGGGGGTTCACTCTGCTCTCCCCCCTTGGCGAGATGTCCTGCTGGTTCCATGTCCCCGGTGGAATGACAGCCACGTCCTTGGTCCCGGCTGTTCGTCTGGCTGGCGGGGACGGGCTTCTGTCCGCCTGTGCTTGGCTGTCTCTCCAGCGCTCGTCCCTGGCCCCCATCTGGCCCTGGCCCCCTTCCAGGCAGTGGGGAGGAGCAGGGGACAGCGGGGACAAGCCCAGCTCCGCTCGCTGTCGCATTTACCCTCTTCTGTAGCAGTTTGTCGGCAGAGACCCGCTCCCACCCCTCACAGAGCCTGTGCTGGAAGATGTCCCCTGCCTCCTCCATCCCACCCTGCCAGCCCTTTCCACAGGACTGTCCCAGCGCAGGGTCCTCCTTGCTGCCATGCTCCGAGATCGGCTCCAACCTCGTGCCACGTGGGCACATCCCCACTGCCTTCCTCGAGCTCGGGGGTGGGATACTACCCGCAGTCCTGGGCTCGTGGCTGCCATGAAGCCCCGCCACCTCGCACGAGAAGCACCATTCCCACCTGGGACAGCCCAACCTCACCTTTGTTCATGGGTTGGAGCCATCCAGAGCACTTCTTGCAAGTGCCGGTGTGCCCTGGCCACCTTCCAGGAGCATCATGATAGTCTGCCCCCCCCAAATTCCTCCTACTGTCTCAGCTGGAGGACTCCTCCTCTACCTCCTGGCCCCAACCCTCTTAAGCAACCCCAGGCTGCCAGCACACTCCGTTCTGCAACCACCTTCCCCAGCAGGACACAGGCGTAGGACGGGAACCAGGTCACAGCCGCCATGACCTACTGCCCTCTCCCCTGGGGGCAGAGGCAGCAGGACGTCACCTGGAGCGTGGCCCAGCCGGATTCCCCTGGGATCTGTCTCGTGGCCGAGGGGGAGACACATTTGCCCTGTCCCCATTACCCTAATATCGAGGTCGATGCGCTGTGATGAGCACGGGAGAGATGGGAGATGGGAGGGTGATGCTGGGCTGGCAAAGCAAGCCTGGCACGGGTACCGCACGTGCCCGAGAAGATGGGGGATGCAGAGCACCAGGCATTAGCGGAGCTGGGAGCACTCTGGAGTGTCGCCATCGCTTCCCAGCCACGCGGAAGGAGCAAGGTCCCTGCAGCCCAAAAGCAGCTCTTGTTTGGAGAACCGTGGTGCAGAAAGTGCGGCTGGCGAAGGAGCTGCCAAGGCCGTGTGGGCAAGTGGGCACAGTGACACGGGGTCCTCATTGGGGTGGAAAAGCTCGAGGTCAGGCTGGGGAGCGGCTTCCCAGAAGGTGAAACCTCTCCCGAAGCCATGAATGCGGCTGGAAGCGGAGCCGTGTTTTGTAAATAACCGGGGATCCTGCACAACCTGAAAAAAACAAGTTGGAGGCAGGAATTTTCCGAAGACGAGAGGATTTGCAAAGAGCCAGATCCGGCGTCAGCGCTCGGCTGGATGCTCCATGCTGCCAGCAACGCCGTCCTGGGGAGCAGCCCTGGTACTTCCCGAAGGAGCTGCTCCAGCCACAGCACCCTGGGAGCAGAGAGGTCCTGCCAGGAGCTGGGGAGAGGTTTGGGCTGTGCCCACCATCCAGCTGAGGTGTGTGGAAACCCCCCGCAGATGGAGGATCAAAGCCTGAGACTCAGGCTGATCCCACCAACGTGGCATCAGATGCACGGGATGATGGGCACAAACGGTTGTCTGTGTTTTACAGCAGCAAAACATAAGGAAAGCTCAAAAAAAAGTCCTTGCTCGTGGCCCGAAGTAAGTTGGAAACAAGGGATCAAAGTCCTGGGAGGAGAAGGGGGAGAAGATCCCAGCACAAGGAGTTAAGGCGGCTCCTTGGGCGGCTGTGGCTCAGGTGGCCATGCTGTGGGAAGTGCCTCCAGGCTGGGCTTTGGCAGGCCCAATTTCCATGCCCTGGGCTTGGGGAAGGATCATGGGGACATTGAAGTGTTGGGTGCAGGAAAGGCTTCCCGGAGCTGAGCCTGGCTTAGCTGAATCACAGCCACCCAAGGATCTGCCCTCCCCGGAGAAGAAAGCCACAATAACAGAGCTCCCGCTCCGGCAGCGAAGTCCAACCAGAACCAGTAGAACAGCACAAGTTCAGTGGTAGGACACAAATATTTGATGCTGGGAGTAATTAATCACTGTCCTCTGCAAGACACTTTGAGTCAAAATGAGAGTTAATTCCAGGCAGTGCAATGGCCTTTGTCACCCCTGAACTGTCTCCGGCCCCAGATGCCAACGGGCTCCAGTGTCCCACATCGTCACCGCGAAGAAGGATGGACCCACGTCCATCCCAAGGGCTCTTTGAGGACATGGCGTGGGGGAGAAAGAGCCCCATCCGCTTTAGTTAGCGAGGGCTATTTCCAGCATCCCCTTTCCCGTGGGTCCAGCCCACAAGTGACATCCAAGGGGGTCCCAGCCCCATGGTCCCCTCTCCTGAGACAACTGCTCCCGGGGAAGGACTATACCCTGTGGCCTGTGTGAGGAAGCAAGCGCTGGCAGAAGTCTCCATCAGCGCTGAACAGACAAAAGTGCCCTGTTAGGTGCTCGCCTGGGTGGTGTTTCCTAAGGAGATAATGGTCGTGGAAGAAGGACTTGCTGTTTTGGAGAAGATTAAGTACCTGTGGGAGCAGCATGGATGAATCACATCCCTCATGGGCTTAGAGCCCCTGGAAATGGCTCATGGCACTTTGAAAACAATGTCATGAATCTTCTGCAGATGAGATTAGGGAGTGGAACAATTATCTCAAAACCTGTTAGTCATGGGAGGCTCCACGGAGCTGGAGGAACAGCCTAGGGCA